AAAAAAAAAAAAAAAAAAAAAAGAAATGCAGCTCCCAAATTTATCTGTAAGATATGAGCTTAGGCTCCATTTCCTCTATTCAGAAAGGAGCAGGGGGCTGTCTCTCAGGGAGAATTTTTCCCTAGTATTTTAGTCATCTAGAGATAAAAATAACACTAGTCAATCGAAAAGGATATAGAGAATTTAGATATGCATTCTTTTTTCTAGCTTGGGAACAAAAGAACTATGACCTCTGTTCTCAACAGCACATCTACTTAGGGTCTAACATTTTTTACTTATTTATATGGCATTATACCAAGTAATTGGACAGAATTCCAATTCCATATTGTTTCAATTTTTGTGATGCCTTTCTGAATTGAGTTGAGCTGCAAATGTATGTAATTAGGAACAATTCTTGATACCTGTTTTCTTTTTCAGTTATAAAAGTCCAGTTCTAACCGAATACTCCGTCAACCCAGAGCTGGCAACTCTGTCTTACTTCCACCCGTCAGAAGGTGTATCAGACACATCTTTTTCTAAGAGTGCTGACAGCAGCACATTTTGGGGTACTACATCTTCAGAATTGAAAAAAGAAGACACATTGTCAAAATCTAGAACAACGGACATGATTTCCACAGCCTCAGATGATACAGGCATGAATGATGAGTCAGATTTAATTCAGAGTGAGGAACCAAGTGAAGAAACTCCCACAGATTGAATAGACATTAAGTTTGAGTCAGAAAGCAATTTCTTTGGGACTCTCATTAAGGTCATGACTTGGAAACTCTGCTGAGGAATTTAAATTTTCTGATATCTGAAAAGGAGGACGTATTCAATAAAATTGTCTCAGCCATAAAAGTTTTATAATGGAAAAAACACAAGAAAATAAATTAAGGTGTGGAAAACTCATCCGGTAAAAATAATTCTGGACAGTGACTTATGAAAAGTATTCACTTTAGGCTGGTTCTCTTTAAAATGAAGACATTTAGATATTTATCTTATCTGCATTCTGAGGACTTTCAGGGTAATCACAATTACCTACGCCCCACCCCAAAGCAAAAAGAACACACCTGTTTGTGTTTTACTGGTGAAACAGTTGTACCCTATCAAGAAATGAAACTAAATTAGTACTAGAGCCTCCTAGCATTCTTGTTTAAAAGTCGTCAACTTCTCAGTGACTTAGGAGGCTCTCCATCCCAGGAGTATTTCAGTTTACAAAGAAGACCCATGGAATATGGATATTGTTTCACTTTGAGGAATTAGTTTCAACAGAAAAGATTTTAGGAACATGCATCTGGTCTTTTGTGGATGTGTGTAGACCTGGGGGTTGGGGGAGAACTTAGGTTTCATTGCCTTCCTAAATTCTCACCTACTTTATGTTAGGCAGTTTGGTATATTATATCACACTGAATTCTATTACCCTATGAAAAGCACATTTATTTCACAGATCAACAAATGAAAACTCAGGTAAGTCAGATGCCTTGTCTAAGATCACCTGAGGGAGAGGGGCAAAACTAAGATGTTCTTCCAAAGCATGGTTCTCTCTGTGATCCGTGAAGGCTAACAGTCAAATATAACAAAAAACAAAGGACGCTATTTAGGAGCAAGGTCAGCCCCACATAAATATGGTGGAAGGCTCCTTAACTGAGGGTCCTTTAAGTTCTTGGAAAATTGTTCTCCCCACCCCTAGCTTATGCCCCTATGAACCTTCCCCATGGAGGATAGACACACTCTTTCCACTCACCTGCCACTTCCCCTACTGTGGATTCTCAGTCATTTGCTCACTCCCTGTTTTCTCCCTGGACTCCAGCCCCAGTCTCACCATTGGTTGGGAAAGCTAGGAAGCTCCGCCTTTGAGTAGCTTGGGACTATATAAGACCTACCCCTGAGCGAAAAGACGTGGCAAGGCAGCTCATCTCAGGTAGGCTCAGAGAGTGTACAGATCGTGACTCAGGGGTGGCCTTGAGCAGTAGCCCATGCTACCCTTTGCCGGGTCCTTTTGCCATTTTCCGTGCCCTTAGGACCGTCCCGGGGGTCAGTGCCAGCATTTGTATTGTCAGTTCAGACACCAGGAAATGCAGTGGGAAATGAGTGAGGCAGATGGTTGCAGCTGCTTGAAAGTCCTCCAGGTGTGGAGGAGCCATGGGAGCCATGTTGAATCCAGGGGTGAGAAAGGGCTTATGGAAAAAAATGTCAGGTGGGCGTGAGGGGTTGCCTACCATTCACTCCCACCTCTTTTCTTCACCCACCCTTGAAAATTTCCTTGATAGAAATAGATGTAAGTCGCATTTTAATGACCCAACTTCTCTCCAGGACTCAAAAGTATTAGAGAATTAATCAATATTGCATTACTATGGTTTAAATGGCCAAAAGAGATGAAAACCATATTTTTAAAAATTGGTTTCTCATCCTCAATTGGCATAGCTTGTGGAGACCACTGCAGATACCATTGTAAAGTTCAGTCAAGTTATAGTGGGGGTGGGGCATGAAGCATATCAGGTAACCTTACTAGTATCCACCTCTGGCCTCTTGCTTGGTCTAGAAGTAAGGAGAGGTCTGTATAGCCCCGGCTGGTGTGTGCGTGTGTCTGTCTGTGTGTTGGGGGTGGGGGTGCCTCATTTGTCCTCTACTAACCAAACGTACATTTCCTCAGCAGGTTCTCTAGATCTCTGTTTGCCCTGAAAGGTCATGAAAAAATTGCTTTTTAATTTCTGTCTCCCAAGCATTCTGTCTCGACTCTTATTTCCTTTCTCTGATGCCCATAATCTGCCTCTTCCCCAGCCCACAAAGAGGTACTTTGATCTATTTTCCTACTGGCTACTTAAGGGCAATTCCTACAGGGTGGCTGTTAAAAGAGAAAAGCTCTTGCTTTAGGAGGAAGAACCAAGTTGTCCCCGAGTCTCCAAGAGCAAAATCTCCCCAGCATCACACCCAGGATCAGGAGCCTTAAGTGCCAACCTCTATTCCCCTTTTCTTTATCCCTCCCGTGAAAAGTATGTTTTGAGATATGTTGAACAGTAATGGTGCTATGGGGATCCTAAGTGGGAGAGTTTTTCTCAGGCCTTTTGGGTGGTCCCATGATTCCTGAAACCTGGGCGTGGAGGGGCAGTAATGTTCGGGAAGATGGAGTGGGCTGGTTGTCTCAAGAGCCCCTCTTTCCTGGGTCCAAAGGACAGGGAACATGCGGTGCAGTGACTGAGAGCCCCGCGCACACGCCCCCTTCTGCATGGGTTTCCCTGCCCACTTCGTCACGTGATCAGGGAGGCGGGGCGAGCGGCGCTCGCTGGGCTGTGGTCTCCCTGCTACCGACCAGGAGATCCCTGCTCCCGCCGCGCTGGATCCTAGAAAGGCATGCACAGGTTTGCTGGCTGTAAGATGGATGTGCGTGGACTTGTGTCACCCATACCTATCATGGAATTACTCTAAGGGGTTTACTATGCTCTGGTGAAAGAAGGTGCGGTGGGACCCTGGTTGCAGCAAGAAGTGTTTATAATCCAAAGGAAATTTTCTCAGGCACCTGTAGCCTGACCAAAGGTTCTTAAGTGTGCCTTCAAATTTCAAAATTAACCCTCCAAATATAGCTTCTGGTGGGGGAAAAAAGTTGTTTGTTTGTTTTTTTTAACTTGTGAGATGGAGAGAAAGTATAAACACATTTTTTTTTTCAATAGTGCACCCAAAGCACTGCTTAAACAGTCCTTCCTCAATCAAGGCAACCAAATGAAACCCAGCTGATGACAGAATGCAGTTCCGGCTGGTTATCCTGAGTTTAGACCCCTGTCCGCGTTTATTTAAAGAGAAATTAGATCCAGGCGTTTATGTTTGGATCCTAGGATAGTTCTCGTTTTGGGGCTTGCTCTTGGCCTTCTCCTTCCTCCCCCCAAATGTCATTCACCTTTGTAACCCATTCTTGTACATTTCAGCAGTATTAATGTAACAGGAAAAGAGGTTGTTGAGCCAGGAGAGAGCTCCTTTTGTAAAAAAGCAGCATGTGTGTTATCAAAACATGTGGATTATCGAAAATAAATTCACAGGTTAAAAGTTGGACCACATGTTCTATCTGAAATCTCTTGTTTGAGAGAAGAGAGAAGTGTATAAATTATCCCATAAATGATATAGGAAAATGTATCTTGAAAAGAGGGAAGAAACTTTTGATTTCCTTAGTTAAAAGTCAGAAAGGAGCTGCCAGGTATTGGGAACAGCTGTTACTGTGAGCCTTTTCTCTTGTTACTATCCTGGTTTTTTCTCAGGAGTGTGAATCCAGCTGCTCTAGAGTTTTGTTTTATTGATTAATTTTTTTTTTTTTTTTAAGATTTTTTATGTTGGTGGGCAAGGGAAGGGGGCAGTTTATGTTTGAGACAATCAGTAGACTACCAGGGACCTTAATGAAAATTTTGAAGCCCACTGAATTAAGGAAAGACTAGTGCTTTAAATAATGTTTTCTTAGAGAAGATATATTGGTGTATGATACGATGTACAATTCGGTGTAAGTGGCATTCGGGTATTTGAACTGGTTCCAAATTGTCATTGGTTGGTAAATAATCTCAATAGGCTATATCCAAACTATATCATGTTTGACAGAGTTTAACAATTATGTATAAACCTGGCCCCACATCGGTGGGGCACTTTAGTAATAAGGCACGAATGTACTTTAATCTGTCATGGAGATGAGCTCGACATTTCAAAGACTTAAACAGAGCTAGTTCTTGACTTCTGCTTCTAAGAACCGATCAGTTAGTAGATGGCTGGGTTTGGAAGAGCTAATGTCCTTTTGATAGTAAACTCCTTGTCCAGGATATTCTGGAGTCTGCATTTCATCTGAAGTGATTTTTAAAGATAAAACAAAACTTCTCTTGCATTGACAAAACTAGGCACAACCATGGAAGAACTGGAAAGGCTCAGCAAAGAAATTGAATCCGTCAAGACTGAGGTTGAAGAAAAGCAGAAGAGCCTCTCCAAGCTTGCTTTAACACATGAAGAGCCATCGCAAAGTCACATGACCTCCTTCAGGAATACAAATATGAGGCAAGATTTTCTTGAAAATCGCCCACTTCCAAAGGAAGAGTGGCACGAGTCATCAAAGAATGAAGAGAGTCAGGCCAGAAAGTATGTACTGGACCACAAATGTCCAGCAACTGATCTTGAATATGATCCCTTACTGAATTATTCTGCAGAGCTGCTTGGGGCATCGAAAGTGACACAGGCTGAGCCTGATGAACAGCAAGTCTGCCGCTTGAAAAAATCTGTGGATGAGAATCGCCACATGTCCCAGGAGAGCCAAAGGCCTCATGTTTCACCAATAAGAATTACAATAAATCTTCAAGAATCTGATGAAGATGACCTTGTAATAGATGTACCTCCAATCGTGCCTACTTCTAAGAAACCTAAACCATTGAGAGGCTTCAAATATCAGAATATGGATGAAAGGGTACCTATAATGTCCCCAGAGGAGAGGAGTCTTCAAATTACTGGCACAGAAGAGGAAAAAATCGATAAAACCCAACTAACCACACAAGTAGATGATGACGATAACAAATCAGAACCACCAGTATCGCTCACGCATAGCTCACTAGATATTAAAAGTAACGTAAACTTGAATCGTGCTAAAAACCACCTCCCTAAGATGGGAAGCTGTGGTGGTGGGAAAAACTATGTCTGTATTTCCGGAGAGAGCATACCTCATGCACCTTTCAGTGACAAAGAAAAACAGAACAGAATGCA